GGACACGGTGAGCAGCAGCTCTGGAAATTAGAAATCTGCTCCCGGGCACGTGATACCAGCTGAAGAAAGGAGGTCTAAGGCGCCTGGGGTGGCTCAGCCGGTTAAGCGGCTGCCTTCGGCTCAGGTCATGATCCCAGGGTCCTGGGATCGAGCCCCACATCGGGCTCCCTGCTCAGCAGGGAGCCTGCTTCCCCCTCTCCCTCTGCCTGCCTCTCTGCCTACTTGTTCTCTCTCTCTGTCAAATAAATAAATAAAATAAAATAAAAACCTTTAAAAATTAAAAAAAAAAAAAAAGAAAGGAGGTCTGTGCTGAGTCCGGAGTTCCCCAGCACGGGGTTTGGGTAGCCCTGGGCCCCGCTGTCACCCAAACCTCTGCTGGCGACCCTGCCTGCTACCCTCTTGTAGCAGCAACGGGCTGGAGACCAGACCAGGGCTGGGGAAGGGAAAGGGATTTCATTCCAGGCTATATGGATTGTTCTGGTCTCGCTTCCATCCCTGGCCTGGGGGAGTCTGGAGAAACATATAGACTGTGGCAGATACTTGGAATCCCAGGGTCCACTCCCTTCTGTTCCAGGGAAACGAAGGCAGGAAAGTTAGGGTAAGGCTGAGTGCTGAGGTGGAGGAAGAAGCCAAGGGGGTTGGTGTAAGCTCAGGACCTATGGCCTGGGATGGGGAGCCTCCCGGAGGCCGAAGAATGGACAAAGAGATGCAACCCCGAATGCTGATCACTTAATCCTAGGTCTGGGCAGATCTGGTGCACCTGCAGGTGGAGGGGGTGCAGAGGCTGGATCAGGGCCCGGGGCAGAGACAGGGGTGGGTGGGGCCTCGCCTGCAGAAACTGCTGATCACTCCTGTTGGTAAGCAGGGTGCAGAGCCAGATGCTGTCCTCCTCCAGCTTCAGGAGCCGGTTGTGGCTCTGCTGGATGGAGCTGCCTAGCCTCCCCAGAGCGGCGGCCTCCTCTTTGGCCACAAAATCCAAGACCTTCATCTGCAGCTGTCTGACCTCCTGGATGATCTCTGAGAAGCAGGTGTTCACCTCCTCACGTGTTGTCTGGATCAGTTTCTGTTGGGGGGGGTGGACGGTGTGTCGAGAGGCATCTCTGAGCCCCGGCCCGGCACCCCTAGTCTTATGGCCTGGAGCGTGCCTCGGCATCCTGTTGCTGACTGCCGGGCTCCATGACATCCATGCCAAGGCCTGAGAGGGCTCCTCAGCCTGATGCAGGGCACTGTGGGGAAGCCCGGGCCTGGGCAAGGGCGGGCCAGCCTTACCGAGAGAAAGGCCACCTGCCTTCGGTGCTTCTGGCTGTGAGAGTTGATGATCAGCATCTGGTTTTCCACATTGACCTGGACCTTCCGAACCTCCACCTGGGAGCGAGAGGGAGGAGGAGAGGGCCCTGATTCGGAGAGGTGGCCTCAGAGAGAAGCCCTTCTACGAGCCCAGAGGAGACATACCTCTTACATTCCTAAGATGCCTACATGAGAGAGACCAGAGCTGAAGGGCGGATGGCCCAGGGTCTACCCTCTGCTTGTGGTTTCTCACTCCCTGAGACTCTCTCCCCATTCTTAGGACTCAGGTTCTCCTCTCCTGACCGTGACGACCACTCGGTCTCAGGTTACAGAAAGGGGCTGTGGAGGGTTCAGGGGCTTGAGAGGCAGCAGTGGGTCGAGGAGGGACATATCAGATATGGAGCCCCGGAGATACCTAGCTGGGGGTGGCCCTGCCTGGCCCAGGCAGCCCTATGTCCCAAGTCCCTCTACAGAGAAGCCTTCAGTGTCCACCCGTTCTAGCAATGGGCACGTTCTTGTTTATAATAGATGACAGAACTGTGCCATTCCAAGTGCCTGTCCACGAACTGTTGCTGGCACACCATCAAGTTAAGAAGCTGAAGCCAGCCTATAAATCAACACACTGCTTGCTTTGTTGACCAAGTCTTGCTATGGAAAAAGTGTCAGCTGAGCTCAACAGGGTGGTGAATGGGTTTACATTCCGGCCGGAGCTCCTGGCCGTGGACCGTTCCTGGGTGGCTGTGTGGGAAGAGCGCCCTTACTGAATACACGTGAGGGAATGTCTGAAATCTAAGTGTTCCCCTCGAAAAAGCAGTACAAGCATATTAAACAAAAATTGAAAGTAGAGAAAAAGAGGGGATCTGCCCCACCTGATATGACAGGTTTTCTCTCAGACTTCCCTTTTGCTGTGCAAAACAAACAAACAAACAAAACCAAAACAAACAAACCTAGAACTCGTACATACAACTCGGGACCCTCGCTCATCGAACTCGCCAACCCTTTCTCATGTCGTGGCGCGTCTGCCCCCATGACCGTCACTTGGATGGTTGTGTACCTGCCCCCCAAGGACCGGTGTGCCCCAGCTTGTGAAAGACAGTCACATTCCGTGAGAGCCTCAGAACTGTGAGGTCGTGAGGTCCCGGGCCCCCACCCCCCCCCACCTCCTTGCGGGCCCGCTCCTCCTCCAGGGGGAGGGCGTCGTGGTTCTTGTGCTCCTCCAGCAGGCAGGCCCCGCACACGTAGCAGCCTTCCGTGCGGCAGTACACTCCCCGCAGCTTGCGGTGCTTCCGGCACAGGCGGCTCTGGAGGTCCCACACGGGCTCCAGCAGCTGGTGGTCCCGGAACTCCTGGTCCTCGAAGTGGCTGCGCAGGTGCTTCTCGCACAGGGAGGCCATGCACTGCAGACAGGACTTGACTGACTTGAGCTGCGGAGAACAGAAGTCGCAGGGCACGTCCCCGGGCCCTGCCAGGATCCGGGAGGACTCCAAGGTCTGGCCCTTGGCCTGGGTGAAGCAGGTCACCATCTCCTCCAGGATGTAGTTCTTGCAGAGGCGCGGTCTGGAGGGGAAGCTCTCTCGGCACTGGGGGCAGTAGAGGGTCTTTCCCACGGAGGCCTGGTGGTCCCAGAAACCTTGGAGGCAGGGCATGCAGAAGTTGTGCCCACAGGCGGTGGTGACCGGGTTGCGGAACACATCCAGGCAAATGGGACAGAGGACTTGGTCCTCCAACGTGCAGAGACTGCTGTTACTCATCAGGAGCTGGGTTTGGGGATGTATTGAGGGCTGGGCAGGGGGCTGCAGGGCTGGGTTGTGGTCCTGGGCTGGCCCTGGGAAGATAGAGCAGAGCCATGAAGAAGCCACGGCAGGAGTTGAGGGGCCTTTCAGGGGTACACCAGTCCTTCCCATAGAAGCAGCTGTCTGCCCATGGGGTACAGAGTCGGTGTCATCGGTCAGCCCACACGGGGGGCATGACACGGGGATTGTGTTCTCCGAGTCCCGCCCTAACTCCTGCAACACATCTTGGACAAGCCAGCAGATGGCAGAAAGAAGTCACATCAATGTCAGGGAAAGGAGCCACTTCTCTGGCCCTTCAGAAGAAAGGTAGGAAGCGCAAGTCCTTACGTGAAACCTGCTACACGTCAGGGAGGGCTAGAGGCTCGGCTGCCCTGGGATAGGAGAGAACACAACCGCCGGGCACTCAGGTGCAGGCGTCTTGCCCTGGTCCCACTTCACCAGCTGTTGGGAGAGTCCCCCTCAGTCCTGTGTGCCCCCACCCCAGCCCTCTCCATCTCTTGGGATCCGATGGCTGCCTTCATACCTTTCCCTTTGGTGACTGTTTCGTGATCTCCCTATCAAGTGGGCCCCCCCTCCTCAAAGATTTCCCCCAGCTTTGTTCCCTGACATCACAGTGCAAGTGTGACCAGCCCCAGCATTCTGCTTGTGATGTCAGCAGGGCAAAAGGTGTGCCACTGGACATGCTCGGCCTCTCCATGGGTGATGCTTTACTCCACAGCCTTCACCCCAGGAGGTGAAGTGGCTGTTGCACCTGGGGCTCTGTGCATTGGACCTAAGGGACTCACATTACCAACCAGAGAGGAAATGGCATCTAAGTGGCAGTTGGATCTTGGACAACTCCTTTAATCTCTCTGGATCATGGTTCTTTTCTTGTGAATTGACAGGGTTGTTATAGGAGATGATATTTCAAGGCCCCTTCTTGGTCTAAAGTTGAATGATCAACATTATCTGACTGGTGATTCTAAAGACTGTTGCTTCCACTCTGGTTCTGATCCTCAGAAGAAAAAAAGGGATGAGCAAAGCAGAAGAGAGATTCCCATTGCTCTATAATTGCTTCCTTGTTAAAGGTTTCTGTTTCTCATTCTCCCCTACCCAACAGGATAAATGCCCTGAAAAGCTTGCAATATATCACTGTCTTGCTCCAATAGGTTAGCGTGGTCCTGTTTGTTGTATAGAAAAGGTAAATAGAAGGCATATCCCTTTCTCATTTCCCCATCTCAGAGGAAAAATCTTCAACATTTCTCCATGAAGTATGATGTTTGCTATAGGTTTATTGTAGATAACTGTATCAGATTATGTAGACTCCTTTTCATTCCTGGTTTGCTAAGAGTTTTTATCTGGAATGGATATTGACTTTTATCTAATTCTTCTTCTGCATCTTTTGAAATGATCGTAAGCATTGCCTCTTTTATTCTGTGAATGTGGCAATTCTGTATTTACTGATTTTCATTCTTAACCAACCTTGCATTCTGGAATGAACTCTACTTGGTCATGATGTGTTATGCTTTTTATATATGCTGGATTCAATTTGTTAATACTGTCATAGGATTTTTGCATCTATGTTCGTGAATGAAATTGGCCTGGAATTTTCCTTTTATGTAATGTCCTTGTCAAGTTTTGGTATTAAGGTAGGCTGGCTTCATAAAATGAGTTCAGGAGTGTTCTTTATCACTGATTTGGAAGAGTAAGATTGATATTATTTCTTCCTTAAATGTTTGGCAGTATTCAGTGGGAAAGCCACCTAGGCCCTGAGTGTTTTTTGTGGAAGGGTTGTTTTTTTTTTTTAAGCCTTCTGATTTTTTTTATTACTCAAAAAAAGCTTCATTTTTTTATTTAGCTTTCTGACTCTGTGTTTGTGTCTTCAACACTTTAACAATGATTTTCTGCTCCTTAATAAGGAAAGCACGCTTGGTCCTGTCATGAATGCACTTAGCACACATGGAACCACCATAGGCCCTGCTGATGTGTTTTTTCATTTTATTTATTAATTATTTATTTATTTATTTATTTACTTATTTATTTATTTATATAAGACTTTATTTATTTAACAGAGAGAGACAGCGAGAGAGGGAACACAAGCAGGGGGAGTGGGAGAGGGAGAAGCAGGCTTCCTGCTAAACAGAAAGCCCGATGTGGGGCTGGCCAAAGGCAGACGCTTAACAACTGAGCCACCCAGGCGCCCCTGTTTTTTCATTTTAGACAACCTCGTAAGGACTTTAGGTCTCATAGCACGAACTCCTTGAAGTCGGCCTGGGCCCACACCACATGCAGATTTTGGTGCTTTCCCAACCTTCTTGGTATAAAGGTAAATGATTCTATTACCAGGGGTTTGGGACAGCCTAGTTTTGTTAGAGGCTGTATTGTAGGACAGCCTACGACAGCAGGTCAAATGCTGGACCATTCTGAATGCCTATGGATGCTTTCCCCAGATGTGGAAGGGTTATTAATTACATACTCAACTTCTTTCAGAGATTTAGAATTATTCATATTGTCTATTTGTTCTTGTATCAGTTTTGGTAAATGGTGTTTTCCTGGGAATTTGTCCATTTTACCTAAATTTTCAAATTTTTTCGTATAAAGTTGTTTATAACATCCACTTATTAACCTAACATAAAATTTGCATTTTAACCATTTTTATATACAATTCAGTGGTATTAAGTATACTCACAATGTTAAACAACCATTATGTAGTGATCTATAAATAGTGATATAGTCATAGTGATTTATATCCAAAACTTTTTCATCACCTTTAACAGAAACTTTGTAACCCTTAAGCAATAATTCCACTGTACCCTCCTTCCTGTCCCTAATAACGTCTAATCTTTCTATCTCTATGAATTTGCCTATTTTGGGTATGAGTGAAATATGATAGTTGTCCTTTTGAGTCTTATTTCACTTAATGTTTTCAAGGTTCATGTTATAGCATGTATCAGAATTCCTGTTTATGGCTGGATAATATTCCACTATACCACATTTTGTTTGCTCATTTGTTGATGGGCACTTGGGTTGCTTCTCCCTTTTGGCTATCATGAATAACGCTATGAACAAGGGTGAATAGATATCTTGAGTCCCTGCCTTCAATTCCTTTGGGTATATACCTTATATAAGGTACTTATAATCCTTATAAAGACTGTAGGATCTGTATTTGTGTCCCCATTTTACATTCCAGATATCATTTGTATTTTTTTTCTTGATAAGTCTCAACACTAGGAGTTTATCCATTTCTTAATCTTTTCAAAGACTCAGCTCTTGGTTTTGAGATTTGTATTATGTGTTTGTTTTCCATTTCATTGATTTCTGCTCTTCTCTATATTATTTCCTTTCTGTTGCTTTCTTGGGTTGAATTTGCTGTTCTAAGTTCCTGAGATGTTTATTAACAATTTTTAGCCTTTGTTAATATTTTCCCCTTTTTAATTATTATTTTTAGATTTATTTATATTAGAGAGAGAGAACAGGGGGTGGGGTGGGGAGGAGCAGGGAGAGGAGGGAGACGCAGACCAGTGCCGAGTGCAGGGCTCGATCCCAGGACCTGGGGATCATGACCTGAGCTGAAACCAAGTCAGACACTCAACTGACTGAACCACCCAGGTGCCCTGCTTATTTCTCTTTTTACTTTTATTAGTTTTGAGGCTAATTAGATGTACACAAATTTATAATCATTGTTTTCCTGGTGAATTGTAGTTTTACCACTACTGATTTTTTATTATTCAATTTCCTCCTTCTTCTCTATTATCTTGGTGGCTATACTTTTTTTTATCTACTCTTTTTTTTTTTTTTTTGTAAGCTCTATACCCAGTGTGGGCTCGAACTCACTACCCCAATATCTAGAGCCACATGCTCTACCAACTAAGCCAGCCAGGTGCCCTGGTGGTTATACTTATTTATTTATTTGTTATATTTTATAAAAAGATTTTATCTATTTATTTGTATGAGAGAGAGCACACATATAAGCAGGGAGGAAGGGGTGGAGGGAGAGGGAGAAGCAGACTCCCTGATGAGCAGAGAGCCTAACGCAGGGCTCAATCCCAGGACCCTGAGATCATGACCTGAGCCAAAGGCAGATGCTTAACCGACTAAGCCACCCAGGCACCCCTATACTTTTTAAATTATTATTTTTTGGGTTGTTACCTGAGAAATTATAATATGCATCATGGCTTATCAAAGTCTAATATAAAGCATTACTTTTTTTTAAAGATTTTATTTCTTATTTGAGAGAGAGAGAGCACAAGCAGGAGGCAGGGGTAGAGGGAAAGAGAGAAGCAGACTTCCCACCAAGCAGGGAGTCTGATGTGGGACTTGATCCCAGAACCCTGGGATCATGACCCGAGCCAAAGGCAGACACTTAACTGACTCAGCCACCCAGCCACCCTTTTATTTTTATCTCTTCTTAGATAATGCAGACACTTAGAATACTTTTAATTAATTAATCAATTAATTAATTAATTTAAATATTTGACAGAGGGAGAATGAGAGAGAGAGTGCAGAAGCAGGGGGTGTGGCAGAGGGAGAGAAGCAGGCTCCCCACTGAGCAGGGAGACCACTGTGAGGCTTGATCCCAGGACCCTGCGATCATGACCCAAGCTGGAGGCAGACACTTAACTCACTGAGCCACCCAGGCACACCTATTTATTTATTTTAAAGATTTATTTATGTGAGAAAGACAGAGAGAGCAGGAGCGGGGGGGGG